AGTTACGGCGCTCCTGTGACGTCACGCTGTCGCGCAACAGGTCAGCAGCAGCGAGTCTACATGGCGGCAGGTGTGTGTTAGTGTGTGTTTGATGCCATCCTGCCATACAAACTGTCACTATGACAATGGTACGCTTCAGCTGCGTTCACACAATCAGAAATATGGCACCATCCCGCAGGGTTGTGGATAAGTGTGGCTGTGTTTATTTGTGCTTTAGAATGTAACTGCTGTTAAATAATCAGAAAATAGCAGAGTGAGAGAGTTTTTCTCTGATTTACTGCTTTGTTCTTGCTCGCTCTTCTCATTATGTAACTTGGCCATAGGTGCTCTCTTGGACTCACTTGATCCAGGGAGGAGGGACCAACTTCGAAAGGTGTGTTTACAAGCAACAGACAAATCCTGCATCGTATAGTTTTTTTATTTTGTTGACTACAGTTATTATAAAAAAACAACTGATTTGTTTTCCGTGTCATGCACACAAAGTGCACAGCCCTCATGGGCTTACATGAGACAAAATAAAATAAAAAAATACTGTTGCAGTGATCAAACATTTGATTGCATTACAAAATTAGAACTTATATATCATTATACGGCTCTGTATATTCTGACTTCTCTCCCAAGTTTGGCACAAAAAGTCCGCTCTAAGAAAGAAAGAAACTCTTCCATTACTTTGATTTTAACTGACAAAACTGGATTTGGAGTCTGAAACTTGGGGAGATGGGACGAAATTTATTTTGTGGGAAGAAGCAGAAAAGTAATATAACTAGAAGTATACCTAATTACTAAGTAATATTACTTTTGAAATGAGTAATGAGTAATTAATTGCATTTTTTAGCCCAACACTGCTTGTGGGTTATCTTGCGTTAGCCAGTCCTGAAATCCACTCAATGGTTTGAAAGACCAGAAGAGGTCTTTAGTCAAGAGAGAAGAGACCCTTTCAAACTAAAATAGTAATGTGTAGTTCTTATCTTGTTACTAGAGAAGACCAGCGTAATTTTTCAGTGATGAATGCAATATTTATCACCTGCAATGGAACACAGGGCACAGTAGAAACTGCATCCCACTAAAAGTTATTTTAAGGTGAATTGAGCAGCGTGAGAGTAAGGAGTATCTTCTCAGTAAAGCACAGATGTCGGTTGATTGCACAATCATTTTCCTGACTTCAAGACAAAAAGTCTTAAATTATTATAAAAACGTATTTATCTTCAGGTTCTTTACCAGTTAAGGTTTAAAAGTAAGACTTTTATCTGATCGAATTAGAGATATTTATAAGAATGAAAAACTTTGAAACAGTGCTATTATTGTGTGGATGGCAGGGAAATTTAAGATGTCATTCAGCATTCAGTACAATCAGCATTATACATTATACATAATGTAAACTTCATGTAGCGTGTTCCAAATGCTTTTCCAATTTTGTATGTTGATAATTCATTTATCAATTTATACCATTCCAATGCAGCTTGGTCATACTTCACCGAACTGATTCTAGTTTATCCTTTTTTTTAATGGCTACAGTTTCTCCATTTGTTTTGTCAATTGTGATCTTATTTTCAAGTATGACAAAAAATCTTCGTCAAAATGTGGCCATCTGATGTAACTGAAAATACATTCACCTTCATGTTGAGAACATACACTTTGTTCACAGTTTGCAATTGAAATACAAACTTAATATATTTCATAGGCAAATTACAAGTTATAGGTTTCTGATCTGTGCTCTCTGCTCATCCAAACTTTGCATACCTTCGACTGACCTCCGCGGAGTATAAACAAAAGAAGAATGCAGACTGAAAAAAACAATTTGTCTAAATCAAGTCTTTAGGTTATTTCTGGGTTAAAGTGGTCTGGCAATGGCTTCACACCACAAACTGAGTGTTGGTTCTGTAATATGGGATTTTTTTTCTGTGGTTTGGATCATCCCACTTATAGCTGGAAATTACAGCCTGTGTGCTGTCAGTGGAGGGCAGCCCTGAGGACCAGGGTTTGGCTGAGAAAGGAGTGGTGCAACATCACAGCAACTGTAGCGTTTGCTTGCGTAAGTATGACAATATGGGCACATCTGTTTACCAAAAGTATTGTTGATTTTTGGGAAAACAAAAATAAAATGATGCCCACAAACCAACTGTAGAAGACTGCCAATGTTAGGATGCAGATAGTGCTGACAGGAGAATCATAAAGTTACACGAATATTAATATCATATCATACATTATTGTGTTTATTTTTTAACTAAAATTAAATTTAAAATTAAAAATGTGTTTGGAATTATGTCAGTGATATGATCTCTATCACTGACATAGTGTTTTTATAGCTCATTCAGCAAACCAAGGTGCAATATAAGACATGTGTCCTTGCTTGTATAGAAGGAGCCATTAAAGGATCAGTGTGTGGGGTTTAGGGTGTTTTCACACTTGGTTCCCTTTCAGCCCTCCAAATGAACTCAAGCAATTAGTGAGCAATTTTGCACATATGAACACTCCAAACTAACTCAGACCCCTCTCAAACGAACCATACTGAGACCTCCTTGGGAGGCTCCAGTCTCGCTTACCCCTTTGTCGGTGTTGCTAGCGGCCTAATGATCATTAATCATAGTTGTATTCAGTCCACAGCGCCTAAGTGTATGTTTTGCTGTCATTTTATTGTCATGCTTCCATCTCTATACTCTCCTCTGCAGGACAGAGTTATTGACAACTGTGCAAAGTAGAAAAGGATTGTCCCACAAGATATTTTGATATCTACTAAACACTGTGCATTTTTACACAATATTAGACTAATATTATTACAATATTTATTTTAAAAAACCCACACAAGTTGTAATTTAGGACATCAGCAATTAAATGTTTTAAACTAGATTAGAATTTATTTAAATGTGAAATGTACCTATATTGTTTCTGGAGCAGCAACAGTAAAGTTTATACAGTAAAGTCACTATATAAACTCAATAATATCTCACCAGAAACTAAACTAAAATGTCAGTAAAATAAATAATATTCTGGACATTATGATTGCACTTGCTTTTCTGTCCTCTCCTCCACAGTACAGAGGGCCAGGCTCAGCTCCACACACACACACACATAGGACAGGGAGAGAGAGCAGAGAGGCCGCAGTGCAGTTCTCAAGTTGAAGACAACAAGTGCAAAGTAGAACAAAAAAGCGATATTTCCATCTGCCTTTCTCCACAGTTTTCATTACAAGTTTCAGCATGTTTGTTAATCAGTAATGAATAAAGCTGTCTGTAGTCTCAGTGTTTATGTTAGTTTGCAACAAATCTGAGAGGACAAGAGAAAGGACTGGTACTGACTGATGTCAAGAATATGATTTACTGACATTTTAGATTTGTTTCCATTGAAATATTATTGAGTTTATATAGTGACCTACTGTATAAACTTTACTTTTGCTATAGAAACAATATAGTATATATTTAATATTGAAATAAATTCTAATCCAATGTCTTCATGCAAATGAAATGCGAAATGTGAAGATCTACAACCTGTGTGGGGCTTTTAAATAATTGTTATAGTGATAAAACTGTAAAATTATGTGAAAATGCCCAATTTTTAATCAGATAACATCAACATTACTTGTAGCATTTGAAAGAGTCCTCTTTAAAATGAACTGACAGCACAAACAGAACTGAGTCCCTTTTCTGTTGGTCCACTTTAAGAGGACTGGGTTTGATTCATTTATAAAGGACTAAATTAACACCTTAAATGGCATCTAGCAGTGACGTTTCAGATTGTAACACCGCTCGTGTCTGTATTTGATGACCTGGGAATGAGAACAGCCTGTGAAGTGTGTAGGAGAAACTATATAATATTATTATATTTGCTTTCTGCCAGTGGATCCTCCCAAATGTTACACACTGGACTTTTAACTAGAAAGCTAATAAGGGTTGTTGAAAGTCTTCAAAGAGTTGTTCAGTCTAACAATAGTTTAAAGCCAACAGTTCAGAAATATAGACAACAGACATTTAAATTGCACCATCCACAATCTACAGTACACGCTGCATTAAATTAGAATGTTTTCCACAAAGACATGTGGCCAGCTGTATCCACCCTATTTATACAGTAGTGGGTTAAATATAGCCACATACAGAGCAGAGAACTGGTAATTGTGGCCTTATAACTGTCTTTTTATAGATGTTTTTCAAACAGAGGGTAAAGACTCTGTGGCGAGATGTATTATTTGCTACGCTGAATACTTATAACAGACAGGCCGCTGATGTCATCTGTTATGATAAAGCTGAAACTGATCTGTAGGAGTGGAAGGCGAAGGCACCAGCTGCCTTGGCCCTTGAACCCATGCACAATGAACACATCTACATATGTTACTGTAGTTGTGGTAGAAACAGAAGTGAAAATACAATATAAAAGTAACTGTTATCCTCTTTTTGTGTATGGGTTTGGTGATATTAAAGCTGCAATAACACTATATTCACCTCATCAAATTTATATGGCAAACTTAGCCAATAGCTCTATGTCTGCAACACATCCAGCCAACATGGATCAACATTAGCATTGAGTTACAGGGTAACTTCAGTATTTATCACCATGGAACATATTTCCCATGTTTTCTCTTGTATCTGTATACTCTGGCTTAAATAAATACGGTGGCCATCAAATATAAAAGCCTTATCCACATTACTTTCCCTAACAACTAGTAGTGTAACTAATTACTAATTACTTTTAGGAATACAATTCCATTAATAATTAGTTACAACCTTACTTTTGTTGTCACCCCCTACTGATTTGAAATCCAACAATCCAATCACATCTTTGGATTTATGTTTGTAATCATGGAGGAAACTAGTTTGGAAGATGGAAACGCTGCCATTGAGCAGCTGGAAATACTCCATTACTAATCGTCTTAAGTCTAAATTTTGTGGGCAGTAGCAGCAAAGTAATG